CAGCCGACTGAACTGCCTGCTGCACTCCTCACACCTGTAGGGTTTCTCACCACTGTGAGTCCGCATGTGGGTCTTCAGATCACCAAGCCGACTGAACTGCCAGCCACACTCCCCACACATGTAGGGTTTCTCCCCTGTGTGAGTCCGCATGTGAGTCTTTAAATGACCTAGCCGACTGAACTGCCTGCTGCACTCCTCACACCTGTAGGGTTTCTCACCTGTGTGGGTACGCATGAGAGTCTTCAGATCACCCAGCCGACTGAACTGCCTGCCGCACTCCTCACACCTGTAGGGTTTCTCACCTGTGTGGGTACGCATGTGAGTCTTCAGATCACCCAGCTGACTGAACTGCCTACGGCACTCTTCACACCTGTAGGGTTTCTCACCAGTGTGAGTCCGCATGTGTCTCTTCAGATGACCCAGGTAACAGAACTGCTTGGCACACTCCTCACACCTGAACACTTTCACACCTTTGTCCTGCCTCCCGGTTTCCTCTCCAGACTCCTCACAGCTTTCTCCTTGCCGGGTGGAAACGGTGTTGGCAGAACCCCCTCCTGATCCTCCTTGCCGGGTGGAAAAGGTGTCGACAGAACCCCCTGCTGATCCTCCTTGACAGGTGGAAACGGTGTTGGCAGAACCCCCTGCTGATGCTCTCTTAACGCCATTCAAACCCTCTATGCTGCCTGTTGTTGCCATGTCAACGAAAGCTGGATCACCCTCTGTAAAAAAGGAAACAAGCGATCTATAATAGATGCTGAAATATGTGTAGTTGAGTAGCACTACGTACAGTTTAGTAGCACTGCGTATAGTTTAGTAGTACTATGCATAGTAGAGTAGTACTACGTATAGTTGAGTAGTACTATATATAGTCGAGTAGTATGGTGCATGTAAAGTTTGTAAACAAATGCTCATCATCTGTAAAAGCAAGGACATTATACTACAAAAGTTACTAAAACAACTAGCAGAACTGAAACCGCTGAGACACCAGAAAAGACAGTCTAACAGTGAGATGGCTTTACTGTACTAGTATGTTGTTACTGATGCTATGCAGGGTCTTTGAGAGTTACATTACAACAGTTAGTGAACTGTCCCTTGGCCTACATCGTCGGCTTATTTTTGACGTGTTTGTAGGCGTTCCCATACTTAAGTGCGTATGGATACTCAACTGCCAATAATACTGTCGTGATAGTTCTAATATATAGCAAATGTTTTTCTGTGTTTCGCTATAAGATTCAAAGATCTTCACACTCTCCCATCATTAATGAACCGTCCCGTTGTTTTCACACTCTCCCGTCTGGCGTCAGGGCGGGATGGAATCTAGATGTGGGAATTTGTCGGGGCTCGCGTAGGGATTTACTGTATACTCAGGATTAGCTTAGACTTAGATTTACACTTTGCTCACCACCAACACAAGAATCCCTTGATAACAGTGAATTTTCTTTTCGGTCTGTTAAATTGCACACTGGATTGCGAGAATATTTTTCCTTATTTTAAATGCGACACACAACATAATCTCGTAACCCCCTACCGACCCTCACTCTCTATTTACGTTATCAAATTCCAGGCGGCAGCTGCTAACTTCCATAAACAATAATTTGAGAGGCAAACATTCAAACGGACAATCCAGAAATCTCTCAGACAATTCCACATCCAAACTACGACTTTTCTTTCTGCAGCTCCACTGAAACAAGTATTTGAATCTCCTTGACTGAATTATAAACGGCACGGCCCAGATCACACGCACACTGGCCCAAACGCACGCCGCCACACAAACACATGTATTATGAATCGTTGTTTGCACGTTTGCCAACTCTACAAACCTCTGAATACCAACTACATGCCGCCTTTTCCTACCTGGAAGTTAGTTGATACACAGTCCGGGCCGAGTCGCCTGTTGAATCGCTGCAAAACTCCCCAAAGACGGAAAACTGCTCAAGATGCCGCGTCCTTGCGGGACAGGAAGGCGCGATGCTTTGACCCGGAAGTACTGCCTAGCCAGGGGGTCAAGTCTAGTTACCTGATTACCCAACAAATGTACACGAGCCTTGGAGCAAAGGCTGGTAATCGGGAATAATTTTTAACAGAAAAAAAGCCAGTAGTAGTCACCGGCCTGTGTTTTCGGTCATGAAATATATATTGACAAGGTAATATACCTTCTAGATTGTCCACTTAAGTCACAATTTTGTAAGCATAAGAGATTTAAAATTAATGGTCTTCTGATATCACGATTCTGCATTGACTGATTAGCTTACAAATGTACACGGGCTCAAGGCTATGTTCCAATATCGGGCTTGCTCATCAAAAATAAAACCCTTACTTTTAAAATTTCCAATGAAAATTTCCCAGGAATTTTTTTTATATACAATGAGTTTTTTTCGTTTATTTTTTGTGAGTTTTACAAGGCATATCTACACTAAAAATAGTCCCAGTGCACTTGCCCTTTTGGCTATATGCACCGTTCTAACTTTAAGAAATTGACAGGTGACAACACTACAAAACAATAAAGAAAAGAGTTCAAACAACGAAGCTTAAAACTGATTCACTAAATGTAAAATTCATGCACCAATAAGATTTATTTCTATGTAATCTTCACATCAAGGCCCTTCTAACTTCAATCTTAAAATGAAAATCATATAAAATAAAATACTAAATACTAAATTGAAAGTAGTAACAAGATATAATTCAGTAAACAGAAACTTGGCTATTGACTATCCTCTAAAATAAAATACAAAATACTTTGTTGAAATAGAGTAGTAAAAAGATATAATTCAGTAAGTTTAAAAATATGGGCTTACACTTCGTCAAGGAAACTTCAATTGGAAAACGAAACTAGTACATCCCTACAAACCTAACGCTAACTCAAGTGTACAATCACTCCCGATGTTAGTTACTGATTATGTACATCGTCTAATCGATACCATCAAAGTTAATGCGATAAAATAACAACAAAAGAATTAAGTAGGCGAACGCAACCCAACAACAATGTAAAAAAAAATACCTAAGAGAACAATACCGTAGGTGCTACAACATATTAAGACTAATTAAAGAAAAAACAAAGGTTTTAGCATTATCTAACTACATGTTAGTAAACTTCACTTAAAACTAAATGTTTTAACGGCTTTAAAAGTAAACAAAAATGTCAACTATCAAGAAAAGATAAAGAGTCAACATGCTTAAAACAACAAAACTACATAGATCCATGTGACACTATTTTCCAGTTTGGATCTTTGGTACTTCATTCTACATTGACTAAAGAAACTGTGCATTATATATCACCTATAACAGAGGGGAAAAACAGAATAAGGTAAGGTAATAACAGAAGGGATGTTTCCTAAACAAAGGGGTTATATGCCAAAATAAACAGTAACTATAATAAGAGACATGAACAATATATATAAGATATATGTTAAAGCATGTATACAACCCAAAGGGCTCATCTGCTACCTAAACCAAACAATTTGCTATTACTACTATCAAACTAGTGATCGTCTTCCAGTTAAGTTTCTATACTGCTATCATCACATCGAACATGTAGGCTTTCTGGCCTCCGTGCAGTGTCTTTGGCACATCTTCCACTAAAAAAAGTTTTCATAATGTGCATCAAATTGTCTTAAGTTGTGGCCCTAAAAAGCATCCCATTACTGGTTCCCTCATTTGTGGGTTTGCACGTGCCTCCTATAATTACTTTGGTCATTAAACTGCCTGCCACAATCCTCACACTTGTAGGGTTTCTCCCCTGTGTGAGTCCGCATGTGTCTCTTCAGATGACCGAGCTGACTGAACTGCCTGCTGCATTCCCCACATGTGTAGGGTTTCTCGCCAGTGTGTGTCCGCATGTGTTTCTTCAGATGACCAATCTCACTAAACTGCCTGCTGCACTCCTCACACCTGTAGGGTTTCTCGCCAGTGTGAGTCCGCATGTGTTTCTTCAGACTTCCAAGCTCACTGAACTGCCTGCTGCACTCCTCACACCTGTAGGGTTTCTCACCGGTGTGAGTACGCATGTGGGTCTTCAGATGATCTGGACGACTGAACTGCCTGCTGCACTCCTCACACCTGTAGGGTTTCTCCCCAGTGTGAGTCCGCATGTGTTTCTTCAGATCACACAGATCACTGAACTGCTTGCTGCACTCCTCACACCTGTAGGGTTTCTCCCCAGTGTGAGTAAGCATGTGTTTCTTTAGAGTTCCAAGCTCACTAAACTGCCTGCTGCACTTCTCACACCTGTAGGGTTTCTCCCCAGTGTGAGTCAGCATGTGTGTCTTCAGAGCACTAAGACAACCGAACTGCTTGCCGCACTCCTCACACCTGTAGGGTTTCTCACCCGTGTGAGTTCTGATGTGCTTCTTTAGATCACCCAGCTCACTGAACTGCCTGCTGCATTCCCCACACATATAGGGTTTCTCCCCAGTGTGAGTCCGCATGTGAGTCTTCAAATGACCAAGCTGACTGAACTGCCTGCTGCATTCCCCACATGTGTAGGGTTTCTCCCCAGTGTGAGTCCGCATGTGGGTCTTCAGATTACTCAGCTGACTAAACTGCTTGCCACACTCCTCACACCTGTAGGGTTTCTCTCCAGTGTGAGTCCGCATGTGTGTTTCCAGAGCACTAAGATAACCGAACTGCTTGGCACACTCCTCACACCTGAACACTTTCACACCTTTGTCCTGCCTCTCGGTTTCCTCTCCAGACTCCTCACAACTATCTTCTTGCCAGGTGGAAACGGTGTCGGCAGAACCCTCTGCTGATCCTCCTTGCCAGGTGAAAACGGTGTTGGCAGAACCCCCTGCTGATCCTCCTTGCCAGGTGGAAACGGTGTCTGCAGAAACCCCTGCTGACCCTCCTTGCCAGTTGGAAACGGTGTCGGCATAACCACAAGCTGATCCTCTAATGACGTCTTCCAAACCTTCTATGCTGCCTGTTGTTGCCATGTCAACGAGAGCTGGATCAACCTCTGTAAAATAAGTGAACAAGTGATCTATAAAACATGCACCAAAAGATCTGCTTGGAGATTAGCTTTGGGTGGCGTAGTGGTAGATCATTCGACTATGAACCGGGAGACCCGGGATCGAACCCGAGTTGTACCCGGGACATGTCTGAACGTGCGCCCCGACGTTGTGCCCTTGGGAAAGGCACTTTACACTTTACAATTTCCTCACTCCACCCAGGTGTGAATGGGTACCTAACTTCGGTTGGGGAAAGTCGTATTGAGGTCAACTTGTGTCGCCGAATGGCTGCCGCACAGACCCTTGCGACTGTGTGTATCATTTGTATTATTTGAATGTTGTAAATATAGAATACAACACGGGGTATTCCGTATCGCCCGAGGTATCGGCCCGACCGCGGGTCGGATCGCCCGACGGCCGCAGGCCGGAGGGCGATCCGACTCGCGGGAGGGCCGGGACCGAGGGCGAGTGCGGAATACACCGTGTTGTATTTTATTTATATCATACCCA